CAATTTAAAAACTCGTTTTTTTTATTTAAAAGTAAAATCGAAATAAACAAAAAGTGTTATAAGTGGTGAGTTTTTTAATGCAAAAAAGTATTGATGGTAAAACTAATTTAATGAAATACGGTTGTAATCTAGTTTCCATTTATTCTTATTATATTTATGGTACTACTTGGAATAGTTTTGATTTCAGGTAAAGCTTCATTAAATAATTACTCTATTATACCAGCAATATCTATTAAATAGCTAGTAATTAATAAATATTTTAAAAAAATCTAAAAGTGATGATAGTGAAATTGTTAGATAATGCAATGTTTCAAAGACTTTTTGTTGTTCTAACATCACTTTTCACAAAGATTTACACGCAAAAATAGATACTATAGAAAGGTTTTATTATTTCCACAGTTTACTCTCCTGGCGAAAGGAACATAAATACGAGTAGAACAAAATTGTATGCATGAAAAACACAGAACTTTTAGAAATAACTTTTGGAAGTAGTTAGATCTTTTTACAGGGTACAACTTATCCAAAAAAAATTTGGGAATAGATATATCATGAAAAATTGAGTCGATATCGTAAAACAAAATTTTGTAAGAAAAAAATTATTGAAGTTGTAGCATTTTCAACCCTTAAATCGCTAGTCCCTAGCGATATTCACGTTGTGTGCTGTGAGCAATGCGCTCTCTCTCCGATTAGTATTATCATTTTCGCGATAGTGTTTACATTAGTTTTGTAAGTGCCAAAAATGGCTTACGTGTTACAATTCGGAGTTGATGAATATCGCTTTAATTTATGATGAAGCAAGACAACATTTGTGTTAGTCCGTAGACACCAAATGTGTTTACACGTCAGTGGACAAAATTTTGGACAGTTGTTGTAACATCAGGTATGTCAAATTATTTTATTAATTAAAACCACAAATTGATTTTATTAATTGATAATAACAATAGCGGCAAAAACGGTTGAATTTGCTCATAGATAATATTTATTTCCTTGGGAAAGAAATTTTTCCAATTTTTTTATCCGTTAATATTTTATTACACTTTTCCGCCGTGCCGATCGCCGACTGCATGCTTTGCCTTGCGCAAGGTCATGTTTTACAGTGGACTAGTTTCTAATGCATTGCACAAGTGTATTTTTAAATAATTTTCGAACTGCCCTTTTTCATTTTTTTTACAAAATTGTATTTGTAAGAGTCCACTATAACATTCATAATTTATTTTTTATTTTTGGATAAGTTGTGAATTACCCTGTATAGTGACTATTTTTACGCCGGAGTCTTTGTCATTGATGGTGTATTTTCATACAAAAGATATTTAGACATAATTTCTTATTTTTATTTTGGTCAATTATTAATTTTTAGCTATTTACTGAATATTTCTGGTATAATTCATTAATTCTAGGTGAAAAATGTATCCTATAAACTAGATTTAATACCCTTATAATAAAGTAAAATTGCGAGAGCTACTGGTAAAAGGTATATTTTAAAAAATAAATTTCCTTAAATAGTTTTAACTTGACTCAGTACTAAAAGTTTTTTAACCCTAAATTTCTATTTCTTTGCAGGAGATTTAAACCATTTTAACAAAATTCTGATACGCCACTGTGACTAAGGTGTTAGATTTGAGCTTTGCCCCGTTATCCTCTACATATGGATCTTCAAATTCCGAGTAATATCAACACCAAATAAAAAAAATTATATGATCTCAGTTTTCATAATATTCATATGAAGAATAATATTTGAACAATTTAGTAGTTTCATCAATCTAACTCAAAGCTCAAAGAAATATCAAATTAAGATTTGGCTAACCTTTATGTCTTCAAATGATAATATTAATATTTATAACCTAATTGGTGAACAGGCTTAGGCTATGAAACAATTTACAGCTATCTGGCACTATAAAACGGCCATTAAAACGTTTTTACTATGCGTTGCGACTTCCTCAGTTCGGAAACAGAGAATTCGGTAATTACGAGTTCAACGCTCGTGTCGACGAAGGAACCCGTCTGTCGTCGCCTAACATCAATTACGGGCTATTTCCATAAAATAAAAAATGATTGAAAATTTGAGAAATACATAATGAATCAATGTACTCGTCTTTCATTGAAACAACTTAATATGATTAAGCGTATTTGAATAGCAAAAAATCTGTTTGTTTGAAGAACAATCCTTCAAAGAATGTATATAAAAATGGTTCCTTGATATAAGTCATGATGAGATGGCTGCACATTCGATAATAATATTTTTATGTCCCGAGAAAAAACACGATAAATCAGCGGAACCGGATGATATGGTTTCTGATACCAAAACATTATCAGTTTTTTCACACACTATACGAAAAATTGAAAAATTTCTAACAAACAATGGATTTTGATTTAATGGCGACTTTCCGAGAAAATAATGCTGTCTACTTCGGAACATGCATACAATCTAAGCTAAATATTTTTTTGCTTTTTTCTACATCGAAATTTTCAAATTATTCATCAGCTGTTATTTTTGGACAATCAAAAAAGTGGTAAATATAAAAGTTACGTTAATACAAAAAACATTACAAAGGTGTTAAATTATTTTCATTCCTATGATTACATCGGTCTAGCAAAAGAGATAAAAACATAATAACGACATAGACCAATGATTATAAACCATTCACCGGAATAGCTAATGCACATAGCAAATATAAATACTAACCAAGAGAATTTAATCTCTAGTTACAGGGCATCTGAAGAAGAAAACGCTATGACTCTCGAAACGTCCAGTAGCTCCTTAGAGCATATACTATATGGAGGAAGCACCGGAGTGTTAAAAAGTGTAGACGCTGTAGAGAGAATGGGCGATAGTTTGGGTATTCTCTCTCTCTCTCTCTCTCTCTCTCTCTCTCTCTCCTCCCTAATCGTTTAAGAATGAGTTTCGTTAGTCAATCACGTACCTACGGGAGAGAAAAAGATGGTACCCAAATGATCTCTTTCTCTCTCTGTCCCTAGTCTACACTGTCGCCGTAAGAGTGCTTCCTCTATGTAACGTATGCTCTAATGTTCTATTCAAATACGTAAAGATATACTAATCTAGTCTAGTCTAGTCTAATAATTTCATTGATCAAATATAAACTTTTTTTGGAATTCATACTAATAAGATAAATCATTCTCTGATAAAAATCAGCTGCAAACGTAACATCATCTGGGTACAATACAGTTCAATCAGTGCTAAGATGAGTCGAAACATCACTTATAAATTTTAAGAAAATGAGTGGACCAAGTATTATGCCTTGAGGAATGCCAAAGTTCTTAAAAAATAATGTTTTTAACCCCATTTTTGGCGATTTTTTCGATTTTTACAATAATAATCATGATTCATTCGATTTGTAACTAGTCATATTTTGTAAAAAATTTAATTACAAACATATTTTCCTCTTCCATTTTCGCCTAAAATCAACTCTTGATAAGATACATAATTAAATAGGAAGAAAAATATGACATTTTTCGATTTTTTTTAACATATTGTGCCCCCAAAAGTAAAGCCCACGTTTTTTATGCGCATAGAAAAATTAGAAGAATTTTCATTTCTAGTGATATTTGAAAGCCAAAAAGCCAGAAATCTTCGTGGATATCCGATTCATTCAAACCAAAACAGATACCGCCTAGTCTATATATTTTAACGAGTTTTGCTGGTATGTAATCAATGCCAACGGAATTCGTGTTTTTTTGGAAATTTCATTGTCAACTATTGCAATACAGCAACCTTCGCTTCAAAGCTAAAATAATTTACAAAATCGTTTGTTTAAAATGTCAGCTTGATTGACAATGTTATTATCTGTATACTCGTATATTTTTTCTTCTATATCCGCCTTTAAGATTTTTACATTTTTTAAAAATATTCTCAACAAAAGTACATAGCAAAATAACAAACAGTGTAAGAAAACAATATTAAATAAATAAATAATTCTCTTAATTTCAATTAACCAACAATTTCTTATGCATTTTCAACTCTTAACATAACTTTTCCGATCTCTAATGATTACTGTCAATAAATGTGAAAATACTAGCAGCAGGCTAATCTTTTTTATAATTTAATACAAAACAAAAAGTAAAATCAGAAGCTTATCTAACTTGGATAGTCTTTAAAATAACGATTACCTACACTAAAATAATAAAAAAAAACTAAATGTTTGCATACCCGTATCTTGAGTAATTTTAAAGACATTTTATTCTAATTTGGTACAGAGTATACAGGGTGTTACAAGTTTGACTGCCTTAATTTTAACAGACGATAGAATACATTAAAATAAACAAAGAAGCCTTTATATGGCATGATATTTACTAAATGTTTCCCAATAATAGTTGTTTACATTTTTTCCGTAGGACAAGTCTGCGCTGTTGTCTCATTGTGATGAAACTCCCCAATATGAATACTCGCTGTATTTTGAAAACTGATAATCTTACGCCCCCGTAATATACAACTTTTTTGTTCATTTATGATTACTCTATCTCATGCTGAAGTTATGGCAGTCAAACTTCTTACACTCTGTATACAAATATTAGAAATAACGAACTTCAGCGGCGTTTCTCCGATAAGTTATTAAAGATACGAGAAAAAACCATATAAGATACTTCAAAATATTTTTTTAAGAATGCCTTATAGCTACGCCAAATTAAAAAAATTAAATCTTCTGTAGGTCAAAAACCAATGAACACAGAAAGATCAATTTCAAAAAATAAGTTCGATTATGAGTAAGGCATAACAAAAGAACGCAACAAACGGGCGCACAAAGCCGTAAACAGTATTTTAATTTAACATCCTTTCGATTCGTCCTTAGGGAATGATTCGGGAAGCGGACCCCGCTGATTGGTATCGCCGTAAAGCGTTCGGCAGCTTGAAACGCCGAAATAAAGAGATAGTGTTAAAAATAGATTTGGCAGATTAAATTCATACATTTTCTCCCACAACCGAAAATCTATAGTGGGGACTATTTTAAAGTGATTCCATGCTCATTAGATTTAAAGACTGTCAATGCTATAGCGCCGGGCCGTTTGAAAAACAGAAACCGCCGGGCAGTTCAGTTACCCTCGTTCCGTCTTGAGAGAGGAAACTGCGGTTTTCACACAGAAAACACGGTTTTTGTCGGCTTTTCTTTCGGTTTCGTCGTATATCAACAAGAAAACAAGAACTATGAGCTCCAAGTGTCATCACAGGAAGGTAAGAATTTGTTCTGTAATCAGATTAATTATTTATATCCGTACAATTATACGCAAATGACAAATGTCACAGGTATTTTACCAAGTAAGTACTCACAATTAAAGTCTAATTTACTAATTTTAAAATATACGTAACATCGGGAAATAGAACAGAAGTTAGGAAGAAAAATAAAATACTTTTTAATTTAATTATTTGAAATATATGTTTAAAAATGTGTGCATGCATTTCTTCACCGTTAATGGTATCGTATTTGTTTCTAACTGTAATTGATATATCACGAAGATTAAACTGATAATAACAATGATAAATGTTTTCTCTAAATACTGGGTGTTCCTTATTGATATGCGAATATTTAAGGGTGTGATTCTACATAGAAAATTAATGATAGTTTGCTTTATAAACTATGGTCCAAAAATGTTCGAAACCACTTGAGATATTTTAGTGATATTTAGTATGTAGTGATAGTTAATAAAGGCGCATGTTTTTCAATACAAACATAAATTTAAGCTCTAACAGTGGCGTGCGTACGAGCACTGACTTTGATATTTTTAGAAGAAAAAAATGGTACGCCAGTGGTTTTTCCCCAAAAAAATTATTTTTGAAATCTCCGAAAGAAATTGTTAATTGATTTCCTTCTTTTTCCTAAAATTCTAACACCCCGTATTTAGCAAACTATCATTAATTTTCCATGTAGAATCACACCCTTAAAAAAGCATATAATTGAAGAACATCCTGTATATTTATAAATTTTAGAATTTTGGACTCCTGCATTAGATGAAGACTGAAACAAAATACATTTGAAATTACATTAAAATATCGATTGTTAAATAGTTTATCTTTTTTTTTGGGTATTTTGCTATACAACTAATTAAAATATTAATAAAATATAGAGACATAAGAATTATTTAGTTCGTAACTTTCGCAGAGTAATTATTCAAAAGATAAAATTTCATCAAATAAATAACCGGAAACAGAAACAGATTTTTTTTTTCAATTAAACGTTTTTTTTTTGTTTATGTCAAATTTATTACATTTATAATTGATAACAATGTATCTGTGAAAAAAGTCATCAACATTCTAAAGCTTCAATGAGCCTCAATGGTTAGAAAATTGGTCGCAACTTTTTTATTACCTCTTTTTCAAAATCAAACAGCTTTATTATTAATAAAAAATATTTTAAAGAGGTACTCTTGTTTGTAAGATTTGAACATAAAACAAAATTAAGTTATATAAGCATAATCAAAATCTTTCAAAATATTATTTTCAATTATATTGACTAAACAAAATTTAAAATTTAAGAATAATTTACTGTGATGGGGAAAATTGTTTAATTTATTGAAAAATGACAAATGAAAAAATTTTGCTTAATTTATTCAATTAATACGGACCATTCTCTATAATTTTAATGTTTCCTTTTATAAGTGTAGATTTTTTACTAATAATAAGTGAAATAACCTTTGAAAAGATCGCTTAATTGAAAAATATATATATATATATATCAAAATATTAAATTCAAAAGATAACTTTGAGATTGTGTATTTTTGTCAAAACTGAATCTTTTAAAAAGTGTCGTAGGGACTTGTATCATTATTTTTATAATTAAAATTACTCCCTGAATTATATGCTTATATTTGAGAACATTCTGTTTTATAATGTCAAAGAACTTAAAAATGAAAATCTTACTTTATTCTCATGAAAATCACCTAAATTAATTATACTTAGAAAGGCTACAAAGAAAAAATTATTGCTCTTGCAAACTTATTTTCTTGAGAAAACAGTTAAAATATACAGGGTGTCCATAAAATACTTAACCAAACATATTTGACAGATTGTTCTTCACAAATTAAAGAAAATCGAGACTTCGTTTTTCAGACACAGGATGTTAAAGATTTCGAGAAAAAGAAAAAGGAATTTCGTTTAAATTTGGCGTGAAGCAATAATTTCTAATTTTGCAGAAACTTGCCTACATGCCACAGTTTTTTATATACATAAGCTTAGTTTTGTTGTTTTTGTATGTAATTTTTTTGTCTTGCAAAATATTCCAAATTAGACTATTATTGTTTAAGTAATGAATCATAATGATCCAGAAAATACAGCTTCAAATAAACGAAACCCTGCATCAAATATCAAATCGCTTAGAGACATACAGGGTGATTCAGAACTTATCCAAAAAAAAATCTTGATGTACAGTGAACCCTTACAAATACAATTTTGTAAAGAAAAAATCAAAAAGGGCAGTTCGAAAATGATTTAAAAATACACTTCTGCACGGCACTGGAAACTGGTCCAGTGTAAAACCTGACCTAGCACAATGCGACCGTCATGGCGGTGTGATAAAAACGGACAAAAAGTTTCGCAAGGAAAGAAATATGTAAATAGAATTTTATCGCACCTATTTTATATCGGCAAATTCAACTGCTTTTGCCGTTATTAATTAATAAAATTAATTTGTGTTTTTAAATGATAAAATCATTTGACATACCCGATGTTACAACAATTGTTCAAAATTTTATCCAATAATGTGTAAACACATTTGGGTACGTTGTACTCAGTTTCTACGAACTAACACAAATGTTGTCTTGTTTCACCATAACACAAATGCTTCACCATAAATTATAACGATATCCATCAACTCCGAGTACACGCACAGCATTTTTGACACTAACTACCCATTTTTGACACTAACTACTAAAAACCTATTGTAAACACCACAGATAACAGGTAAATATCGCAACGACGATTGCAAAATCCGAATTCAGGATTCGGAGTCCCTGAGGCCACGTGGCGAATGACGCTAGAAACTACAGTTGTCCAGCTATGTAGTGGTTGAATGTACTATAACTTCGATATTTTTTTTCTCGGAAACTATAAGGATTTTACAAATTTTTTTTTTACGATATTGATTCCATTTCTCATGCTGCATCTATTCCCAAATTTTATTGGATAAGTTGTGATTCACCCTGTATATTCAGTGGCGACTGGTGCGGCGGGCGCCCCCCTTAGAAATTTTCAAAAAAAATTAATTTAAAATTTAGTTTACAGTTATCTGGATAATTAAATATATTAGCCTTATGAAACACATTAAAAAGGAAATGTTAAATTTGTAATGAGCAATCAGTTTAACTCGACTTTCAAATTTCGTTTGAAAAACGTGAGCTCGCGTAGCTCGCTCCGACGTCCGTAAAGTGTTTACAGCGGTCGTCATGGTTACCGTCGCGCAGCAGTGAAAGATGGAGTAGGAATAGCGCATATTTATTATGCAGTTTGGGCACTGTTTATTCCGACCATTATCATATAGTAGCTATTCACGGCTTTTTTTCTTATTAAACGTAATTTGTTCAGGTGTGGTGAAAAAATTTGTTACTTGCATATTGCACTTATGTGTTTTTTAAAAAGATTGTAAAAGTTTCAATACTTTGTACCTAAATTTTTCTGCTCCCCCTGGTATGGAAGTTAAGAGCCGCCACTGTACATATTTAGGTTACACCTTATATGAAAAAAATGTTAATAAACCTTCATTTTCATAATGGTTTTACCTGAAGACTTGCGTCACTAATTTCAAACACTCGAAAAGAAATAAATTTAGCAAAATAAAATTTGTCATAACTGCTCTATATCTTTTAACGACATGTGTAGAAAATAAATACGTTTCGACGATAAGGAATAAAAAACTGGTTACAAAATTTGGTATCATAAAATTCAGCGTTACTTCCTCTCATAATATTATGACACTGAAGCGTTGCACCTTGCTACTAACTTGATTAATGTGTTTGTTTTTAATTTATATATTTATCCACTCATAAACCATTTCATTAATTCATAAAACCGGGCTATAAAATTGTTTGATATTTTGCTTTACGATGTGAACTATATAACATATATAATATAAAGAAGAATTTGACTCATGTCCGGGGCTTACCTTCCGAGAAAATCTCAAAAGAAAAACGACTTGAATAGACATTTTCCAGGCGAGCATTGGCAATATTTTTAGTAGCTCCTCGAAAATGTCACCGATTATTTATAGAAAATTGTTTTATAAACGTTTATGACAGGATAGCACATGTGTATACAATTGAAATGAGTTGAAAGCAAAGAAAATCAGAATTACCAAGAGACAATTCCTACTATATGAGTTCAGGAGGGTATTCAGGATTATATTTCATTTATAAAAGTTCTTGACAACTCCATTGTTTGATGACTTTGATTTTTACGTGAAAGTTTTTAGCGAAAAAATTGAACTTTAATAAATAAATGCATTTGAATATTCTTACAACACAAATTTGGAGATGATTTTTTAATTATAGGCAGAATGCTTTAATAATAAGCATTTTCAATAATTAAAAATGTTGCAACTGCGAAGCAGCGCTTGAAATTAATAATAATCAAAATTGTTAAAACTTATTGAGAACCCCTGGAATCGTCCCCCAGTTACATACTACACAGAAGAAGGTGAATTATTTGTCTTAGTCAATAGCTTCTAGATCTCTTATGTGCCCCTTTTTTATACTAAACAAGAACATTGCTACATACAATTAGTAAAATTGTTAGCGAAGAAATGTTTATGTGAAGTCTAAACCTTTATCTACAACAATTTCCAAATCGGTGTGCATCAACAGTTGTAAACAGAGACAGAGTTATGGGTGAAGTCAGTGGTTCCAAAAAAGTTTTCACCCATCAACGTGACAAGTCAGTGGGTATTAAACAAATAAAATGTATTCTGTAAATATGCTCTCCAAGTTTGTAAACAAATTCTTATCTCAATATGACATACTAACATTACCAAAACTAAAAGCAAATTCCTTACTGCCGCATATAAATAGGTCTTTAAATAAATTTTGACAGTACCAAATATATTGTAATAGAATGAGTTGGGGCAAAGGTTTTAAAATATCAAAGAGAAAGGCAAATTTGGGAAAATAAAATTGGTAAAATTGATTTAAAAAAAATAAATTGTAAGTTGAATAAGTCTGACCAATAGGAGTACAGTAGATGATTGAAAC